ACGGGCTCCTTGCGCCGCATGCTCGCTTTGCCATCGCCAATGGAAAAGAAACCAAACCTTGCTGTAACCACGGTCGAGGTCTTTTTGGTTTCAAGATCGTCGCGCGCGAGACGACTTGAGATGCCGAGTGGTTTCAATTGCGCTACTAGCCTCATGTCGAACCCGAGGCTTCTCGAAGGCGCCGCCTTAGCTCCGATTGTTCTATGTTACGTCATCTCGTTTCGCTCGGGGTTGATATGAACCTGCCGAAATGAGCGTTTTTGGTAGATGGAAAGCCACCACACTGATTAGGGAGTTTCAATTCGCCCTGTTCTGGGGAACCTCGATTGGATGGGCTGGAACTTGCCAGATCGATGAGATTATGTCCATCAGCGTGTCGCTGACGTTTTGGGCTTCCGAGACATGCTCTCGGGCTGACCATCCCAATAGAACAAGCAGCCTGAAGTACTGAAGTCGGCAGCATGACTGAGAACAATGATCCGGGAGCAGTGCAGTTTCACGCAAACTAAGGAAAGGAGCGAGTTAGTCGTACGACTTTTGTCGGATAGGTAAACAATTATCGAATCTGTTTTTGTCGTGTTGTACGCATATTTTGATAAATCTGTACTCCCCACCTTTCTTTGTGTTGGCTCGGGGAAACATTCCGGTCACATATCGAAACTGGTCAATAGGGGTAAGTGTGGTCCATTTTCAATCAATCATCTTACATGGATTGTGACAAGCATTGTGCGTTCATTCGCGAATCTTTGCCAAGGTTCATTTGTAAGGCCACTCTTTGCCATAAAACGCATTTCGATGATAATTCTGTCTTGGCGGTGTTGACTGTCGTCACCATCACTAGGCTTGGCTTGGGCCGAGGCATTGGCATATTGGTCCGGTGCGCCGTGCGGCCGGCCGCCAGACGGGTGGGCCGGCGCCCTGGAACTCGCGACGGACAAATTCCCGAGTCAATCGCTCAATACCAAAGACTTGTCGCATGCTCTCCGAAGCTGACTATTGAATTCATCTCAATGCGTTGCCTTTGCAGAAGCTCCAAGTGATTCTGGTCGGTCAAACATCGCCAGGACCCATATCGGCCTCCGCGGGCGCGGGGGACCGGGCCAATGCGTCTTCCGCGGCCGCGGCCCGATATCCTTCTTCAACCACACGCCTCCCTGCTATCTCTGTATGAGTAGGACCAAGATGTCACAACGTGTGTGACATATTAAATCAAAGAATAACCTTTCCATCCTCATCTGTGTGTCTCCGTCTCACACCATTCTAAAAAAAAAAAAAAAAACCTAATTCACAATGTCGTCGCATCAGGAGTATTCTGCACCTAAGCTGCTGGAGATCGCGGCAACCGACGTCAGATTACCGCTGAAACAGTCAGACTACGCCGCGATTCTCTCCAGGCCCCCATTTCATTCTGTCCCTGGGACGTTCAACACCAGGGACATCGGCCAAGTCCCCGGCAGCGCCGTCCGGCCGGGCTTCGCGTTCCGCTCCGGCTCGCTCGAGGCCATCGGCGAACCAGGCGCAAGCGTCATCGCGAAGCAGCTCGGGATCAGAACGATCTTCGATCTGAGATCGGGAGACGAGCGGGAGAGATACCCCGAGCCGGAGATCCCGGGCGTGGCGAACGACTGGATCCCCACCCCGTACAACAACAAGGTCGACATGAACGATTTCGCCAGCGGCGGCGGCGAGGAGGGCTACTGCAAGATGTACATGGGCATAATCGAGGTGTATGCCCCCACTTTCAAGGCGATTCTGGAGCACGTACGAGACAGGCCGGATGAGCCGTTCCTGTTTCATTGCGCACGTAGGTCAAGCCCCCGGGGACGGCTTTTCCCTCCCTCTCTTTCTCTCACTGCGACGAGGCCGCGGCTAACTTTGAGGGGCCGTGAAAGTGGGACGCGACAGAACCGGCATCGTGGCCGAGATGCTGTTGTTTCTTGCCGGGTCGGATGGAGATACCCTGACTCTGGACTACATGATGACGCGGATTGGGTCCGAACCGCTTCGTGATGTTTTGCTCGAGAGGGCAGTTCAAGACAACGCGGTTGCCAACGGGATTGAAGACCCAACATTCCAAAACCTTTGCAATCTGAGGGTTTCGACGTGGGAGCTCTTTGTAAAGCAGGTCAAGGGCCAGTATGGCGGCTTCGACGGCTATGTCACCGAAAGACTAGGTTTTTCCAAAGACGATTTAGAGCTTATCAGAAACAATTTGAGAGGTTAGATATAAACTAGATATGTACATGAAGCTATGCAAGCAGATGCTTATTTTTTTTCGCATTCCATCTCTTCATCATAGTAAGGTGAGAGATGTCTGATCAACCCTTCACTTCGATGTGGAAAGGAAAGACGTTATGTCTTGCGGACAGCATCCGCCAATCTCGGGTTGAAAACAGTGAGTTTATACCTAGAACCTGAGGAGGTGTCAAACAGCGATGTGACTGAAAACATGTATTTGGATTGCTTCACTGTAGGTAAATACGCATGTGGTCATGGGCGGAATCACTTGCTCAAGTGGGAAAGATATGAGCCCCATCTTCCTCATTCCAATGACCCGCGGGGGCATTGACTGATTGTTACTATAATGAGCAGTTGTCGCGCCGTGATTTATATCACTCATGGAACCGCATTACGCACGAAGTCATTCGAGATGGTCTATATAAGCGGATAAGCCAAGAGAGTAAGAAAAAAAAAAGGGGGGGGGGGAGGTTCGATTGAGGCTTGCCGTCAATCTGGTCATGGGCCTGGGTGTAGATACAATAAGAAAGAACACAAAATACTACGAACAGATACGTTGAACAACATCCCTTCCTGCGAAGGCCACATCTAGCCGTAGACAGCGGGATCGTCCTTTGACAAGTCTAGGGAAGCTATCCCAGGCAAGGATATCAGCGGGCTTGGGCGTGTCGGAGGCCAATAATGTTGAAACTAGTGGTGGTGGTATAACTGTTCAATTGTGACAATGGCAGAATTAGTTGGCCGTTAATCTCGCAGAGAGGCACAAGCCGTTCGTGAGACAGGAGAGCCCAAAGGATGAAGTTCCCACATGCACGTATCTGGGCATTGATCTTGAAAAAGATATGAAGAGGGTGCTTTGTAGCCGCTTGAAGCATGGTATCGGTGCTTTAATTGCATCCGGTTTGGACTCATATTAAGGGTGGAGGAGGCCTAGTTGTTATCGGAGTGGCGCTTGTCCAGGAGGCCAGTCGAATCAGAGCCTCTAGAAGCCAGATTGCTAAACGCTTTTGTAATTCAGGGGTATCAAATGCACACATATGCTCTTCCTACCTTCCTTAGCCGTGCCCTCACTTAGCTCTGACCTTCCGGATGACGACCTTATTCCCATCAAGCTCCCAACCGACGCCACGGTCTCTCGTCAACGCCTCCCAGCTCTCCCCGGCACACCTCTCCAACCACTCCCGGTCGGCGGTGAGATAGGTCCTGCCGAAGCACTTGAGCACATGCGTCCGCATCTCGGCCTCGGCGAACTCCAGCAGCTTCGCCCGGTGGCCGTCGACGCTCCTCTTGATCCTCCGGAACGCGACGTAGTTGTCGTGCGCCAGCGCCGCCAGCAGCGCGTCAACTTTGGCATCGCGTAGGCCGTACCGGTGGCGGATCGCGTACGCCTCGGCCAGGTCCCCGCGGCGACAGGCGGCGTCGAGGACGAGGTAGGCCAGGACCTCCTGCAGCTCGACGCTCGTCAGGTTCCGGGCGGGGTGGATGGCGCGGAGGACGTGCAGGATGGCGGGGTGGTAGGACTCGGGGTGCTTGACGAGGACCGAGAGGCGTATGTTGAACAGGTAGGCCTGGATGGCGAACTCGTCGGTGCGCTTCGAGGCGACGATGCCCTCGCGGAGCTTGCGCAGCGCCATCATGACGTCGGAGAGGGCCTTTGTGCTAGCGGGGTCGTCGAGGCTCGGCGACGAGGCGGCGGACACGGAGGGGTAATCTTTGAGGTCGAGAGAGGCGAAGCGGCGGAGGAGCTCGTCGCGCTCGCCGGCGTCTGAGCAGAAGGTCATGTAGCGCTCGACGATCTTGGTGTAGTACCGTTCCTGCGTCTTGAAGTCTAGAAGCCTGGACCGTAGCACACGTCAGTCAGGAAACCATGCACCAATCGACGTCTGGAGGGGTGCAGGGCTCACCTGGTGTCGCCTTTGGAGGGGAGGCCGATGCTGTCGAGAGGGTCTAAGTCGACGGGCTTGAGTCTTCCCCAAGGACCCGAATGTGTACGGCCGCCTCGACCGACACTACCGCCGCTACCAGTACCACCACTACCGCCGCCAGGGCCGCCTCCCCTTCCTCTTCCACGAAAGACCCTGCCTCCGCCTCGGCCTCCGCGATTTGACATGATTGCAAAACAGTTTTGGTGATTTTGGACTCGGCACAACGGAGTGCAGAAGGCGAGGGGGGGCGCGCAGGAGAGCGACAGAGAGAGATGGATACACACCCACCTGTCGTCAAAACAGAGGCGGAGACATCCCACCTTTCCCCCCTATCTTATCTAATCCCCGACGGGGCGCCAAGGCTGGAGCTCAGGTACGAATTACCCCAGATGTCGCTTCCGAGAGGGGAAGAGACTTGGGGGTGCTCTTGCCAGTGTTTAACGTGCTCCTTAATACTACCGAACCAAGAGAAACTGTCCCCATTGACGCATAGAAAAGAGCACATATACCCTGATTACGGTCTCTCAGGCTGGAATGTAGCATTTCACATTGGGAAACCCATGATCAGAGCTTCTGGCGATCTGGTCATCCGACACCGAACAGCTCTACCCCACCACCAGTACCTCGTCTAGTAGTAGGGGCGGATAGACACACCGCGGGGAACCTCGGCAGGCCAGGGGTTGGTCTCGAGGCGAAGCTCCAATTGCACTCATCAAGGAGTGCCCGTCCACCTCAGCATTCTGCAATATCCCCCCCAAAGAGAGTCGTAGATTGGTTGAGAGGAGCATATTGTAATTGAAAAATTGAACATCATCCATCACCGCATTTATTGTCAACATGTCGGACCGTGTGACGCAAATCGCCTCTCACCTCCACTACCCTAAAGGCATGCTCGCCGGCCAGGTGGCCATCATCACCGGGAGCGGACAAGGGATCGGGGCCGAAACGGCACGGCTGTTCGCCAACGAAGGCGCGAAAGTCGTCATCTCTGATATTGACGCCAGTATGCTTCTCTCCAACGACAACAACCCCAGCCGGATTACATCCTTACTGACACCCACCGCCACAGAAAAGGCCCAGGAGGTCGCGGACGGCATCAACGCCGCCGGCGGCCAGGCCCTCAGCGTCCCCGGCGACGTGCTCTCGGCGGACTACATCACCGAGCTCGTGGCCAAGGCGGCCTCCTTCGGCGGCGGCAAGATCCACCACCTGGTCAACAACGCCGGCTACACCTGGGACGGCGTCGTGCACAAGATGACGGACGCGCAGTGGGACACCATCGTCGCGCTGCACGCCACGGCGCCCTTCCGCCTCGTGCGCGCCGCCGCCCCCTACTTCCGCGTGCGCGACGGCGCCAACCGCTGCGTCGTCAACATTAGCTCCACCTCGGGCGTCCACGGCAACGCCGGCCAGGCCAACTACGCCGTGGCCAAGGCCGGCGTCACCGGCCTGACGAAGACCATTGCCAAGGAGTGGGGGCCCGCCTTCGGCGTCCGCGCCAACACCGTCGCCTTCGGGCGCATTGCGACGCGCTTGACGGACGCCAAGGAGAAGGGCGCCTTCGTCGAGGGGCCCGGCGGCGAGAGGATCGCTCTGGGGATCCCGCAGGCGCAGAAGGGAGCCGGCCAGCAGCAGCCGCACGCCGACATCCCGCTGGGGAGGCCCGGCACGCCGACCGAGGCAGCGTCCGTCATCCTGGCTGTCGTCAGCCCGCTCTTCAGCTACGTGACCGGTCAGACGATCATGGTGACGGGCGGGCGAAACATGTAGAGGGCTCGTTTCCGACGATAAAAAGAAACGCCCAGAGCTGGAACAAACTGGAGTGACCCAGCATCACTGAACAGAATGTAGAATTTATGTGACTTATCAATAATTAGGTATCGGTACTTGATTCCCGTCCCCTCCCCAACGCCCATTTCATGCCAATTGTTTCCTGGAACAACAAAGAATAAATATCCCTCGGTACCGTATCACCCCTTTCTGTCTCGGCTTATTGTCTTTTTCTTTTCCTCCTCTCCCTCCCTTAAACCTTCATCCACAGGGACAGAACCCCCTTGGCGTACTCGACAATCTCGTCGCCGCCCAGCTTGCTGTCGCCGTAGACGCGGTCGACGAAGGTGATGGGCACCTCGGCGACGGAGCAGCCCATGGCCTTGGCGCGGACCATCATCTCCATCTGGAAGGTGTAGCCCTTGCTCTCGGTGCTGGAGATGACCTTGTCGAGGACGCTCTTCTTGTAGAGGCGGAAGGAGCCCGTCAGGTCGCTGACGCCGGGGCGCAGGACGGTGTCGGCAAAGAGGTTGGCGCCGCGGGAGACGAACTTGCGCTTGAGGTCCCAGCCGTAGACGCCGCCGTTGCCGGCGTAGCGGGTGCCGGTGACGATGTCGTAGTCGGCCTCCTTCTGGCGGGCGATCATCTGGGGGATGAACTTGGGGTGGTGGGAGAAGTCGGCGTCCATGATGATGACGAAGTCTCCGGTGACGAACTGTAGGCCGTGGACGTAGGCGGTGCCGAGACCCAGCTTGCCGGTGCGGGTCTTGAGGATGACGTGCGGGGCGTAGGCCTTGACGAGCTGGTTGGCGACCTCCTGGGTGCCGTCGGGGGAGCCGTCGTCGACGATGATGAGTTCCCAGTCGAGCTTGCTGTTGGAAGGGGACCGAAGGTCAGCAGGTTTTCGGAAACGTCAAGAAGCACCAGAACCAAAGAAGTGGCGGGGGATCTGGCTCCGAGAAGCTGCAAGGCGCGCACGCAACTTACTTCTCGGTGAAGGTGCGGTTCAGCAGCCAGGCGACGATAGGGAGGTTGCGGCGCTCATTGTAGGTCGGCAGGATAACCGAGTACTTGTGGGGCGCCATTGCTGCTACGAAACGGAATCGGTGTGATTACAAGAACAAGTTGGATAAGAAAAAAAAGTTGCAGTGGTCTTGGGCGGGCGGGGCGGAAAGGAGCGTGATGAAGTTGGCTGCGCGTTGGGTGAAGCTTTACGGCGATGCTGTCCTTTGGCGGCGGAATGCCATTTTGGCACCCTGAGCGGTAGATGACTAAGCATGACCTAGCCCCTGAGATCCAAGGGGGGACGACAAGGCGAGGGTCTCCTAGCTTGCATGCTTCTAGACTCTTGACGTTTTTGACGGCGATGATTCAATTGCGGGAATCTGACTATTATGTCCGCGCCTCATCCCAATTGCAATGTCTAGTTTCCTGATTTTTCTTGACCCCTCTGCTATGTTTCCTGTTTAGCTTCTGTCAACTGCACTGCACGCCCTTTCGGCTTAGTCAACTTGGATACCGGCATCTTGTTAGTTGACAGCTGCACTCGAGGATGCAGGGAAAATAGAGTACAAAAAAGAAGACAAATCTCGATAACAATAAATCTATGGTCGAATTTCTCGAGTTCACCGACTGTTACTACAGGTGGTTTCCTGACTTTTCCGTAGCTGCTTGGGGTGGTTGACTGTATCGATTCCATTTCGATGCAACTGGACAATATTCGCAGTCTGCGGTTTCGCCTGCAAGATATCGACATGCCGACGTCTTAATATCAGTGTTGAGGCGAGAATGCCATTTTACGAGCGTCCCTGTCCAGCGGCAACGATCCCGGATGGCATGCACCACAGATAGTAGACCCCTAGGACTTAATATTGATATTGGCTCCCTCTCCATATCGCCCTCTTGCACTGGATTGAAACAACGTGTACACTTAAGGGCCCGTATTCGTCTGTTCGACAGCGATGCAATCAGCCGTATGGTTCCGCAGCACATGCGCATACGCCCTCGAGCCGATCGCAGATGGCGTGCAGCAAACTTGGAAGCTCAGACCACGGTTCGGGGACGATGGCGAGCGCTCATTGGTTCCAGAAAAAAGAAGTTGGCGGGAGGGGGTGGGGGGACGCGCCGCGCCACCGTCCCCGCATCGCTATGCTGCAACACCGCGAAGCTGCCGCTTTCTGCCCTGGCAAGCAGACGTAGCTGGAAACTCATCGAAAGAAAATGAGATAAAATAAACAAATAAATAGATAAATACGTCAAAGTGAATAGAAAAACAGAAAACCACCTCGAGAGATGTGCTGGTTTTGCTTCTGCTGCTCTTGCTACGCCGCCGGCGACACAGTGTCGTCGAGACAGACGCACACATGGTCCTTGGGCCATCACCGTCATGAGGGGGAAAAGAATCGGCGTCACATCCGCTGAGACGAACTTGCAACACGATCTAGCTGTGTCTGCCGCCAAAAGGAGCTCTGTGCCTCTGTTACACCTTCGTCTATTCTCTGCTGTTTCCTACTGAACAGAGGAAACGGTCATGCTATGCCGCCGTTCAACAGCTGTCAGCTACTCATTCACAATCGCCGGCCAGAGGAACAACCTTCTCTCTCCTCTCACCCCCTGCCCTCCCCTTCCCCATCAAATCCAGCTCAGCAGCCCCATGGAATGACTAGGCCTCTTCTGGATTGCCCGGGCCTTAACCGGGGCTAAGCTCCAGCTTCCAGCCCTGCACCGGCGGCCGTGGAGCTGCTTCGTCACGTCAGGTTGACATGACGGCGGACCAAGGTTCCTCTCCACTTGATTTTGCTGCGAGGGGGAACCTTGCTCTCGCCGGCAGTCGCTTGCAAACCTCGCAGTTTCTCTCTTGTCGCTCGAGGTCCGCTCCCTGTTCTGTTAGCTGGTAGTAACAGCTCCCTCCCCCGATGGCCCGCGCAGACACGTTATGTGCGTGCGCGCACACACTCACTCACACACTCACTTTGTTTGTGCCCACCGAGGCGACGGCCGCCCTTACCCTTGCCGCTGCTGATTCGTTCCGTGGAACTCGCCCCCTGCCTACCTAACCCCATGTTTCTGTGCGATGACCTACCGTGTGGTTGCAGCAAGCCCAGCAGGTGAAGAGGAGGAGGAGGAGGAGCTCCCATGCTTCCTGCTGCTTCTCCGACTCCGACTCTAACCTCACCTCTTCTTTTCGCTTCTCTCATCCCTTCTTTCTCTCCTCTTCCCAACCCAACTTCATCCTCTTCACACCAGCTTTCCATCGTCAATCGATATCACCGTAGCCAATTCCATCACCACCAAACGCTTATCGATACTCGAGTACGGCCATTGAGCCCATATTCAAGACCGACTGCGACATTCCTGACCGCGCACTGTGCGCCCACCAACACCACTTTACGTCATCGCCATGGATCCCGTTCCCGTTGCTGCACCTGCTCCCGCTGCTAACGGCGCCGACAAAGGTGAGTGTGAGGCATCACGAAGCTTCAATTGTGATCGCGTCGACCCGGTACGGCTGCTCTGATGTTTGCGCCTTCTACCTTGGCCAAACTCAATGTGCTTGCTGTATAAGCGAGGCTCTCCCGTCACTATTCACCCATCATGCCCGGACCATCATGCGCTAACATCCTTTTCCCGATCGCAGTCGCAGAGACTGTCGCGACCACTACCAGCGCGGACAACAAGCCAACGGAGTCTCCAGTCGCTGAGATGAAGCCTGCCGAGGAGAAGAAGGACGAGAAAAAGGAAGCAACTGCGCCCGTGCCCGAGACATCAGCTGCTCCCGTCGCCGAACCTACCAAGCCGGAGGAACCGCCTGCGCTTGCTCCGCCAGCGGATGCGCCGGCTACGGCAGATGCCACGGTTGATGCGCCAAAGCCTGCCTCCGTCGAAGAGGTTCCCGACCAGGATGGCCCGACCTCAACCGGCGTCCAAGAGCCAAATGCCACCCCAGTCGAGCAGCCGGCCGTGACATCCGCGCCTACCGATGAGCCTGTGAAAGCGTCGGTGGAAGCGCCCATCGCGCAAGAATCCGCCAAAGCGCCCGTAGCTGAGGACGAGCCAATCAAAGAGCCCATCATCGACAAGACTGAAGCTGTCAACGGTGACGCAACCAAGGGCGTTGAGATGACGGGCGCTCTCAACGATGCCGAACCTGCCGGTGCGGGCGAAGACGAAGCCGCAACGCAGGCCATCCCGCCCGAACCCAAAGTTGGAGACAAGCGCAAGGCGGATGACCCCGTCGAGACCAACGGGGTCAACGGGGCTAACGGCACCAATGGCACCAACGGCGTCGGGGAGACATTGAAGGAAAAGCCAGCCGAGAAGAAGGCCAAGAGGGGGCCCGGTCGCCCTCCTTCGAACGGTGCGGCCAAGGAATCGCCGAAAAAGGAAAAGGAGTCTCTAGGTCACAAGGTGGCCAGAAATGTGAAGAAGGTCGTTCACCCCGTCGGCAGGACTGCGCGCAAGACTCGCTCTCAGGGCCCCGTTTAAAGAGGCTGTGGATAGTGCGGACGTTCAGGGAGAGAACAATTTATCGTGTCGACTTTGCTTGCGTAACAGCAGGCAGCACAGGACCACTCGTCGGCCAAGGCTCGGATGGAGCCCGTCACGCGGGCATGTTTCCTATCCTCGTATGTTCATGCTGGGCAGGCAAAAAAGGTGGTGCGGGGATCATGCTCTTGTTTTTCTTTCTTGATTGCTTTCCTGCGTGGGCTTGAATTTGGATCAAACAATGAAATGGATCGGGGGGAGATATTTGTATGTATATAACACGATGCTTGCATATGCAGCTTTGAATCACGGTTTGATTACAGATACGATGTTTGCCTCAGCGACCGATGTGGTATACAGAGAATGACCCGCGAAGTTTCCGAACTCTGGGTAGACAAAAACGACGTGTGTTGTTTCCTAATGGCCGGCCCGGTCGGACAGAACCATTGATCCGAGCCATCAGCATGTTGCCATTCATGGCCGAGCAGAAGAGCGACAACCAGGCGATGACGTCGACATAGGCGGCACTTGGTGGCTCTTCGGCCCAGGCGGGGGTACATAGAATCCGAGGGTCCGCGGATCGCGCCACCAAGGGCCAATGATTTGCAGACCATGTTGAAGACCACGGGAATGGAAGGGCGGGTATGAGGACCCCTTTTCTCAGTGTTCTCCAACGGGAATGAAGCCCTGGAAATGTGGAGAGGGAGAGAGAGAGCAACATGCACCTCATACTAGTAGGTACTGTTTCCTGTTTTTGGATTAGTTGCCAGGTACCCGAGCGAGTGCCGGTCTGGTTGGAATGGAGAAAGCGGAAAACCAGGACGGTTCATCCGGGCCGGGAAGAGCCAACCCAGAAAAAGAGAAGAAAAAACAGAAAACCGGGCGAGTTGTGACGAATGTAACCCATGCCAGGGACGAGAGCGTAAACAAAGGGGAACCAAGAGAAAGACAAAAGCTCCCCTAAAGACGCTAGGCGATATCGAGAGGAAAGGCGAACGGCTTCTTCCTTCCTTCCACGCACGGGTTGCCGGGCGTTCCGACGCCCAAAAAGAAGAAGCCACAGGGAAGGGAAGGAAAGTACCGATAAGGGCTTTGTGGAAGTCGAATGGAAAATGGCTAGTGTGGCTCTGGGGGGGCTGTGACGTAACTGTGCGAGGAGGCGTTCCTAGCCAGTAGCCACATACCAACAACGCTACCTTACCGTCTGTTCTGGAATTCCTACAGGTAAGAACGGCGTGGGTTTGAGGCATAATCGGGGGGCGGAGAGGAGGTGGAGATGGCCCCCCCCGTCTCTCCATTTGGACCCTGCTTCGAAGCCCTCGTGACTTGACGGATGGGGGCGGTCGAGAGAGAGCTGGTTTCTGCTTGGTAAATGGAAGGAAAGTGGATGCTTATTTTGCGACTCGCGTGAGTGAATGAGTCTTATTTTCTGAGGTGAATGCCAACAAGCGCTGCGCGGCGAAGTCGCGGGTGATTGCCCTTGCATCCATCATTTATGGCGTTATTGTTTTTTGTTACCCTGCTGCCATGTACAGGTATCTCGTCTCATGCTTCCGTAAGGTACGGGACGGGGGGGCGGGGGGGGGGGGGGGGGGAGCAGCTAGACGATCACTCGTGCACAGCCTATTGCTCTCCTGACTGGCATTGTGGCCTTTTGCATTGAGTTTGACCCGTTCCAACTTCCGCCGGCTTTTTTTTCTTTTTTTTTTCTTTCTTCCGCTGGCTGGTTGGGTCTTGGGGGACTCTGACCCATTCAATTGGCTCCAGTCTCAATGCATAGCCCTGCTGGATGCCTTTCCGTACCTTGAGAGAGGAAGGGTCTTACCCTGATTGATGGCAGGCGAGGCCTACAAGTATTCGGTTCTCGTGGGAGGGGGAACGCAGAACCCAAAAGACGGGTCCCCTGTTCGTCATTAACCTGACACCCAGGCGCAGGGTGCCGCTTGACGTTGCAATTGAGATTGAAGGATGGGAGGAATGAAGAGTCGTGATCGACACGCCGCTTTTCCGGGGCGCGGCTCATGCTGCATACCTACCTAGTAGGCCGAAACGGAAAGGGAGGGAGAAACATTGAACCTTTTGAACAGCCGGCGGCTCAAGAATGGGCATCATCATCATCACCGTTAGCCCGTGCACACGCAATCAGAAACCTTCTCTCTCTCTAGCTTCTCACCAAGGATTTTCTGTTGATGGCTGGAACGTCTCTAAGACGGGGTGCGGGGATCGCGCAAATCTGAGCACCGATCGGCCAGGCATAGCAGCAGGGCGGAAGAAAAACAGAAAAAGAAAAAGACAAATGACCCGAGCGTGTCAGCAGTGTATACTAACGGTCAGCCGGAACAGAGATACTGGACAACTGGATGTTGGAAGAGGGTGCAAAGAATGTGGGGGGCGAGCATGCTGGCGGCCTCGTATCCATCGGTTTATCGATTTATCGACCCCAATCCCATGGCTGTCTCTCTCTCAGCAGGTGTGCAAGCACAGGGTCCTCCTATTCAGTCGTCTCGTCTCTGCCAGCGCGCGCGTGGTGTGGTGTGGGTGAGAATGAATGGTTGGAGGTGGGTGCCGAGGAGCAACAATGCTGTGCCCCACTTGGTACGGTATGTCAAAAATAGCCACAGCCACAGCGAGCGGCGGGCTTGCCGATGCGCCTGCGAAGACGGTTGGTTTTCCTTTGGCACGAGGGAGCGCGGAGGGGGGCCCATGCTCCCTCAAGTCCCGAGCTAGGCTGGAGTGAGCTGCTTTCTCTTTGGATGGCAGCTTATGTGTATACCTCTGTGTGTGTTTTCCCCCGTCTTCTCTTTTTTCTTGGCCAGGTTGCCAGCCAGGCCCATCTCAACCCTTTGGGGGCTGTCTGTTGTCTTCTTTCCAGGTTTGTACCTACGTATTGTACACGTAGTTCCGTCCGCGAGACAAGAGGAACCGTCTCCGCCAAAACCGTTCTGGGCGGATGGAGTACGTACCGTACATGTGCCCACCGTACCTGTGAGCAAGCGCACCTTACAACGTACCTACATAATCAGCGTTCCTGCAGCTGTGGTAAGAGCAAGACAAACATGGAAAACATATATCCTTGTGGACGCATGGAGACTGCGTTTCATGTCACGATATGAACACTTAGGAATACAATACATCTTTGCAGCCAGCCAGAGTCATAAGCAGCCACATCCATGGCATGGCGAAGGGAGACTGCATGACCTGGCATGAGCCCCAGGTACGGATACAAAGCACTAGCTAGGTACGTACCGCCAGCTGGATCGGATGAGGTGGGGCTTCTCTTCTCGCGACCCCATTAGCGCAAAAATTGCAGGGACGTAAGGGGCGGGCGGGCCAGTCCCCTACGCTGTGTTCTCTTACGCATGCTCTTTTTGTATTTTTATTTTTTTTATATCGTTTTATCCTATTGTACCAGGCTCACAAGCTAGTAAGACTCTGTCCAGCACAATGGGTCAGAGTCAACCACACACACATACACACACACTCCTATAGCGATACACCGGATATCGGCGCATCCATAGGACTAGGATGGGCCTGGAGTGACATACGCAATTCTCTCTCTCGGCTCAACAAACTACTTCGCTACGTGCTCCCCCATCTGCCATCTGCACTCCATCCCTCCCTCTTTACCTCCTTCGCCCTCCCCCCTGCCGTCTCTTAACCTATTCATCCCGTACTCCCTACCGTACCTTACCTTTTTACCTTACCTTAACCTCGTTCTTCACACTCGCTTGAGAACACCATCCCTCGTTTCCCCGAGTCTCCCGCCTTGCAGTAACCCTCCCGACCATCTCTTCTCCCCCGACTCTCGTTGCGGCACCCGGCGTCATTCACTTGTCGTCCTGCACCCGTCTTTGTACTCCCGGCAACACTCGCACGAGCGGGCAAATCGAAACCGTCCTTTAATCTGCGGTACCGACGAATCCGCGTAATACCTCCGAGAAACCTCGCATCACCGCCGCCCTTGATACGTCACAGCCAAGCGACCAGCCGTTCCCCCCTTCCGAATTGCCGCCGCCTGATCCAATACCTCCTGCAAAGATAGCATCGCTAACGAGGATCTCCGGCGTCTGCTTGTTCGCCGGAACGCACCTGGAGAAACACTTCAACCCCTCGCGCCCCGAGGGGGCCCGTCAGCCAAAATGAGTGAAGATGCCGGCAAGCAGCTGTTGAACTTGATCAAGAATCCTTACAGTCAACAGGTGGGCAAAACCCTTCACCTCCCGGTTCGGCGTACCGCCATCATTTCTGGCTACTGACTGTCGAAAAATAGCTGCAGAAGAACTCCATCTGGGCTGCCTTCGCCACTTCTCTCGGCGTCACCGTCGGCATCGCCCTCACCTTCTCTCTGCTCCGGCCTTACAACCAGTCCGTATACGCGCCCAAGCTCAAACATGCCGACGAGAAACATGCTCCTCCGCCTATAGGGAAGAAGATGTGGTCCTGGATCCCGCCCCTATGGAATACAAACGAGGCTGACCTCGTCCATCATGCCGGCATGGACGCCACTATTTTCCTCCGCTTCATCCGCATGTGTCTCTACATGTTTTGCACCATCTCCGTCTTTTGTCTCGCTATTCTGATCCCCACCTATCTGGCTAACCGTACGGATGGGATTGACGAGACTTGGCTCGATGCGATTACACCCATAGCGGTCTGGGGCGAGGCCTACTGGGCCCAGGTTGCCGTCGCGTACATGATTACATTCACCGTCATGGGTTTCTTATGGTGGAACTACCGCAAGGTGATGCTACTCCGCCGCAGGTACTTCGAGAGCGAGGAGTATCAGAACAGCTTGCATGCGCGGACGTTGATGGTGAGTGGCGCTGGAACGCGCCCGCCTTTTCTCTAGTCGAGGCTAACAATGGCAGATGTACGACATTCCCAAGGACAAATGCTCGGATGAGGGCATTGCGAGAATCATCGACAAAGTCGTGCCCTCTTCTTCTTTCTCCCGTACTGCCATTGCCCGAAACGTAAAGGACCTACCCAAGTTGATCGAGCAGCACGACCACACGGTTCGCAAGCTGGAACAGGTCCTGGCCAAGTACATGAAGAAGCCCGACCAGCTTCCGGCAGCCCGTCCGATGTGCAAGCCCTCCAAGAAGGATCCGTCCTTCGCCACGTATCCCAAGGGTCAGAAGGTCGACGCCATCGAGTACCTTACGCAGCGGATCAAGGAGCTGGAAATCGAGATCAGGGAAGTCCGACTCAGCGTTGACAAGCGGAGCACCATGCCCTACGGCTTTGCCAGTTACTCTGATATCGCCGAGGCCCACAACATCGCCTACGCCAGCCGCAAGAAGCGCCCGCATGGCGCGGTAATCACCTTGGCCCCTCGCCCGAATGACATTATCTGGGACAATCTGCCTCTAAGCTCCTCGGTCCGTCGGTGGAGGCGTATTGTCAACAACCTCTGGATTGCAGTGCTCACTTTCGTGTGGGTTGCCCCCAACGCCATGATTGCCGTCTTTCTCATCAACTTGGACAACCTCGGCAACGTATGGCCGGCATTCCAACGAGAGCTTGCGAGGGACCCGAGCTGGTGGGCTATCGTCCAAGGTATCGCGTCGCCCGCCATCACGTCGCTCGTCTATCTCGTTCTTCCCATCATCTTCCGCCGGCTGTCTATGAAAGCCGGAGACCAGACCAAGACGGGTCGTGAGCGTCACGTTATGGCCAAGCTTTACGCCTTCTTCGTCTTCAACAACCTCATTGTGTTCTCACTCTTTAGCGCCGTCTGGTCATTTGTGTCCGCTGTTGTCTCGGAGACGAGTGACAAGAGCATTGATGCTTGGCACGCCATGATTGACCAGAATCTTGCGACGACAATCTTTACGGCCCTCTGCAAAGTCAGCCCTTTCTGGGTTACATGGCTTCTCCAGCGCAACCTTGGTGCTGCCATCGACCTCGCCCAGCTCTGGACGCTCGTCTACAGTTTCTTCGTACGCAAGTTCTCGAGCCCGACCCCCAGAGAGCTCATCGAGCTCACGGCGCCTCCTTCGTTCGACTACGCCATGTACTACAACTACTTCCTCTACTACGCGACCGTCGCCTTGGGCTTCTCTGGCATTCAGCCTTTGGTCCTCCCGGCCGCCACCTTGTACTACGCCATCGACTACTGGCTCAAGAAGTACTTGCTTCTCTACATTTTCGTCACCAAGACTGAGTCAGGAGGCATGTTTTGGCGCGTCCTCGTGAACCGCCTGCTCTTTGCCGTTTTCCTATCCAACTGCGTCTTCTTCCTCAGCGCCTGGGCTCGAGCCGACTGGGCGACTCACAGTCAGGCCTTGGCCATCGCCCCTCTGCCCTTTCTGTTGATCATCTTCAAGGTCGTCTGCTTGAGGGTTTTTGACGACAAGATTCATTACCTGTCGACGACCAACGTCGCCAAGCATCCCGAAGCCGGCATGCAGAAGGAAACACGCCTGCGCAGTGAGCGCCTGGCATCGCGTTTCGGCCACCCTGCGCTGTACAAGCCGCTCATCACGCCAATGGTGCACCAAAAGGCACAGCCGTATCTGCACATCGTCTACAAGGGTCGTCTTTCGGATGGAAGAGAGGCCAGCAGCGGCGATATGATGAGCGTTTCGGGCTACTCGGACACATACGCATTGGACCCCATGAGCTCTGGCAAGCCCGGCAAGTCGGCGAACGTGCCCGGATTCGAATTCGTCTCCGAGTCGAACCTCGACTTCGAGTTCTACAAGAACAGGGCAGAATTCGCGGACGAGCACGGCCAGGGTGACCTATTCGGCCAGGATCCCGACATTATGCGCCCTGGCACGCCCGGATCCATGTCTGACTACGGCTCCCGTCCCGGGACTCCTACCGGCGTTCAATTGCAGGGTGGCATGACGGGACAACGGCGCGACATTTCTGGTCAGTCAGGGTTCTCGGCCTACAAACCCAATCCGCCGGCCTACATGTCGCCCACTGCCAGCGGCCGGCAGTCCCCGACAAGATTGGGCTCACCGCAGGCCGGCTTCACTCAACAGGCGACCATGGGTGACCGGTCTCGTAGCCCTTTGTATAATATCAATAGCAACGGAAGCGACACGGCGCTTGTGCGCAACGCTGCGGGCATGCCCGTGAGCGCTCCCACACCGGGCCCCACTGTGGGTGCGCTGGGCGGCGGACCGAGGGGCTATAGTGGACTCCCTCAGGCCGACGCGGATTCGCTCGACCAGGACCCGTCGCAATACGACTACTTTCGCGGGTCGAGGCGGCGCCCCAATGACGGATGGTGAAACGAGATGGTGACGGGATGGCGGGCTTTTTCTTTTGTGAGCGATGATAGAGCGAAAGGGTCGACTCGCAGTCCGGGGATTTGGTGTCCATGTAAAATGCATGAAATTCGGCGTTGATTTGTTGAGCGAAAAGGGGGAGGGGGCCTCGAATTGTCCCGCGAGGAATGCGGGTGCGCCGAGGGTGTTTGTTGGACCCGTTGGAGCTTTCTGCCCCCTACCCCCTTGATTCACAAAGTGATAATGATCCAAGAGATGAGACGTAGACTGAATATTGCATGGGGGGGCCGGCAGCGCTCCCCACACGAATCTCCCGGCACGGCGCCGGTGAGAGTACATTATACATTTAATAAGTAAACCCTTTCCGACATGATCAAGCTTGCTTCGAGGTGTTTATGCCCATACGTTGTGTCCTCGGTGCGAGATGCGAGGAGCCGCTTCTCATGGCAGTCTATGCTGACTTACCTACTTAGTGGACATCAAGGCGAAAGGCGGCGGCGGGGGGGGGGGGGGGGGGGGGGGGCGTGTTGAAGGTCATCGGGAAAACACCTCTTGCAAACCGTGGCTTGACCTCGTCATCCCACCCGGCCTCTCCACTAAAGATATCTGAAAAACCCTCTTGTCCTGTCATAATGAAGTGAATAGTAGACCCAAGCGCAAAGAAGCCCGTCCTGAAGTTAGCTACGAATTCATCGTCTCGCGGACAGAAATATCGACACGGCTCGCCACTCCATCCGTCCAATATTATGTTACCGTCCTCAGAGAGATAGCGCCCTTGGAAATCGGCTAGCTCAAAATGCGCTTTTCGGTCAACCAAGACGTTTGTAGGCTGGATATCACAGTGGATCACCCTTTTCGAGCGTACATGTTCGACAGCCTCGCAGAGTTCTCGGCACCATGCCAACCTTTGCTGAAGAGACGGAGTGGGAATATCCGATGTGGTCAGGTAGTCAAAGATTGTCCCGTCGACTGCGCGCTCAAGGCATAGGCCAGTCTCTGTGAGCCCTTTGTGGCCGATAATTAATGTGAGGCTGTTGACCAACTATGGTGAGAATCTTACATTCAAGCTCAAGACGCGTCAAATCAGCCCCCCGGGTTCAGTGGATACTTGAGGACAGTCGAATCATCCACCTCTCCGATAAAGGCGCTGCTTCCACAGGCCAGGACGCATTGTACTCCCGGCGGGCAGTAAAAGCGGTACTCGACTATCTCTCGTTGTTCCATGGTGAAAAGCTGTATGTTGTTTCATCTGACTGATGACGCTCGAGATACTGATAGGGATCCAGGTTGATAAGTAACTGCCTGGGTGGTTTTTAGACTGTTGCGTAAGGATAGTTGAAAGTGGTGTGTAATAAAGTGGTTTGGTTGACTGTTGAGTGACGTGCCTCCATCCCATCGAGGAGAACTATCCTTTATGTACATAACCGCTTCCATTTTGCTTCGTTCATGTCACAGCAAAACCTTACATAAGGATGAGCCTCATGGCAGTTCTGAGATTGAACTCCACCAATAAAGAGATGACAAGACACGCTCGGGTAACCTTCTCGCATCTGCAACCTCCCTTTGCATGCATGAGCTGTATGCCTACTTTGTCAGTAAGCATGCGGTGATGCCCATGCATTCTAATGAAATCGAGACAAAAACCATACAATCAATGACCAAGGCCATAATTTCTAGTCACTGTAGCACTAGGGCTACGCATGATATTCGACATACAGGAAGTATCCAACCGCTTCGACAAGTGTGCCTCATTCACCGACAACCAAGCCTCCATCCAAGCGTTACAAAACCTCGAGTACCCGTCAAGATAATGCATCCTCTTTGGGGGGATACAAGCACTCGCAGAGGCCCATAGCTGAGGATGGGAGGTGCAGTGTCCCTAGATCCCGGCGCGTATCAGTGTACTAAGCAACGAAATAGCTGATCAAGTAGCCAAGGAAGCCGCCGGCTTCAGCCCCAACGCGGATTCTCACGCGAAACTCTGCTGTGCTCCAAGGCGCGTCGCGCAAGGTTGAAAATCGTGGTTGGGTGTTGCTTTGGTTTGTAGAGCTAAGTATGGGCCGACGAATTTCGAAGCGGCCTCCCACACGCCGCGAATGCCATACATAATGTTGAACTGGTCGACGTACGGCTACATTACTGCAATGTCAAAATACCGAAGATACCAGTAGGACGCCGGAAGAGTGATTGAATATCCGTATTTTGTGCCAAACGCCTGCTTCATGTCCTGGCAGAGAAGGACGAAGTTGGCAGTGTCGTCTGCGCCGCCACCTCTGTCTTCTGCATTTTTATAGATGTGTCAGTCACCAAACTCACGAAAGAAGCGGCCAATTAGGAGGTGAGCTTACCAGCCCCCGGGTATTCCCAGTCATAGTCCATGCCAATGAAACCCCAGGTGTCCATGAATTTGACCAGGCCATCGATGGACATTTTCCTGCTGGCAGCGTTTGGAGCCCTGGTGCTGAATACGTACCTTTGACTCAGAGTAGAGGTATCACTGGCGTTGCGATTCAAGAATCTCATTCTCTAACGCCTCCAACTCCTCCGGGTCCGATTCTGATCTGGGAAACATCTTGCGTATAGCAGCCAGACGATCGGGTGCCGCAGCTTGACGAAATTCCTCCCTGGGAAAAGCTTGCGGCCACCCGTGCTTTCTGTACAAATCTCTCATGACCTGCAACACGTTAGGAGATCGACGAGATTGCGCAATGACTGACGGCCGCCGTTAGTAGCCGCTGGAGCAGCTAACCTGTGCGTCCTCGCTGTGATAGTAGGCAACACAGGCTCCGTGATTTCCGGCTTCTGGCATAGGGACGAGCTCCAGTGACAACAAGTCGTCAGTGTTTTTGTTGAAGAACTCGGGGAATGTGACAGCTTTCGCATGAAGCCACCACTTGGTTTCTGCCTCGGGAGGCTCTTGTTCATCAAACAGCATGTAAGAACTCCCATGTGGGTAGATGCGTCCCGGATAGGTGAGGAAACGCTTCAGTAAGAAAACCAGAAGTAGAGCGACAAGCTATGCATCTGACCTTGTTCTGCGTCGATGACCCACCTTGAGACGAGCTCGTTTTGGTCGTAGGTGAATTCCTCGGGTGAGTTTCCGACGGCTCCATTGCAACCTGTCATCGAGGACGGCTGTTGAGACGAAGACCTGGGATATGATGACGGCGAGTGGTTGGCTGGTAACTTGGTTGGTTAGTTCATATGAAAAGGAAAGAAAGCCTTCCAAGGAATAGGGGATTATCCCAGTTACTTTTATTAATCCTGTGGAAAACGTTCCGCTAATCAGTATCCTGGATCCTGTACGGAGTACAGATCCCTGGTTCACCTTGCTCACCCCGCTCGCCGGGATCCGCTCACATACGTTCGTTCTCCTTTTGTCTACCTGACATCCCTCAGCTCACGTCCACGATATTCGGCGAACTCTGCTCTTCCTCAGGTCTACCTCTCGGCGTCTCGCCACGCTTCAAGTGAAATATTGCGGCCACAGGTCAACCGCAGCCCCTGGCCTCCAGTTTCCCTTCTTTTCAAGGTAGAACCTGTACCTATGTGTTTATTATCTTCCTACACGTAAACACTTTACTCCCCTAGATCAACTCTACTGAACTCTCATCTTCATTTAACATACCTTCTAAAAATGTCGTAGTGGGGTGCATACAATATAATGCGTTAATTACTGCCTGTAATTAATAGCGTCGTTTTTGTAACAGTTTTAAGCCTAGTTATCTACAGCTATTGTACCTTAGTAGTATAAGTACAGCTTTAGCGTCTAAGCGTTATAGAGCCTACTGGTTTAAATCCTGCGCAGGCTATAGACAGGTTATAACAAACTCCTACTAGATAAGTTAGATAGCAACTATAGAAGGGTTATAATAAGTATCTGCCCTAGGGAGTGTAACCTAGGGGGGCTGAGGGCTTCCCTGTTAACCTAGTAATTATATAAGCAGTCAGACCACACAGATAGGATCTCTTCGATCTGGGGGGGGTTGTAATGGGGTGAATACAATATAAGGCGTTAATTACTGCCCGCAATTAACGGCGTCGTTTTTGTGACAGAAAACCAAAAGGAAAAAACATAAGAAACAATAACCTTGTTGTTCCATTAATAAAATTACAAGATGCCACAGTAGATCCGTTTCTCGCAATGTTTCCCCTCAGATACTTGGCCTAGGTGTACCAAAGTACGATTATCTGTGCACACTATTAGTTGCCAGAGCTGAACTGCAACATGACAAGCGAAGTATGGTCACACAAAAGCATCTGCATATGTCCGCCCAATCATTACGCGCCAGTAGTGCATATGCGCTTAAGCAAAAACTACGTGCGAAGCCCTGAGCCTATACTTGCCATCTCGTTGATAAACAGCGGCATCTGCTACATTCATCGGCTGCAACTCTACTTGCATGATGGGCAAATAATGTCAGCAGAGCGGTCACCAGCAAGACGTTTGTGCAAGGAAGACAGACCACTTCGCTTTATTGACCACGATGGGGAAGTTGTGCTTGCATCCGGCCTCGCGCTTGAGGATAGCGGTGACTTCCAATGAGAGTCGTGCCTGTCTCTTGTGTCACAAACAATGGACAGCTTGTTTTGCGGGGCACAGGGCAGATGAACGAGATGATTTAGTTGTAAAGTCGCTATATAGGTGGGACACGGCATAGGAAAACGGCATACCTATCTATCTGTATATGTGAGGTTGCCTGATAGCGGGTGTCGGTACGGCATAGCCACAGCGACTAGACCTCTGCACAGCCGGAATTACCCTATTCCCTATCTAACTACCTAAATCCTTACCCTAACCTTCCGAAACCTACTAAACTACTAACCCTGCAAGGCTACGCGATGAACAATAGGCGATAGATTCTAAAAGCGGCACTAGGACCTACCTAGTGATATACTCGAAAACCACTAACTTGAAGCTGTACTTAAACATGGCAAAGAAAAATCGGAACACCTCAGCTGCGGTGTCGCCGCAGCAGATGGCATTCCCGGCAATCTTCTTGACACTGGACCTGAATTGTCGTTGGATTGTGCGCTTCATTTTGCTTTTTGTTTAATAATGACTGGATGTACAGTCTTTACTTGAGCTCCAGCTGCAGTTCCTACTTCAAAGGCGGGCGGCAGTTCACAATTCTTTATTTAGGTTGAGCGCAAAAATCTGGGACATCTATTACGATGTATGGTCGAGCAACGCAAGATGACATGGAAGAGCAGTCTTCCCGAGCCAGATTCAAACTGACTCCTCACAGGGTTAGGGGCACTTCAAGGCATCTGGGCCTTTGCCACTAGACCATGTAGGGAGACCTCTTCGTTGTTGAGTGGCTCATGTTTCGCCATGCTTCACTAGGTCCGATCTCCTGTCCAATGTGCTACAGCTGCCATCCTGACGAGCCCAGGGAACAGGCGGGGGTGCCGTACGCTCGAGCAGCATCCGTGCGGAATCGGCTCCGCTCAAGGGGAGGTCCGAGCGGACACCGGCTCCTCGCCGATGGTAGTGCTTCACCATCTCTGCTGCACAGTACATCCTAGCTCACCACGCGAGCAGTCAGTCGTGTGTGTGGGTTTACCGCAATGTCCCTGGGGCGAGGAGGCACGTTGCACATATAAACTACATGCCAGGTATATTTTGACATGTCAAGTTGCTGCAGGTATTAGCGCGGCGCACAGACATCGCATATCCCATGACGGACATCGTAGCCGCATTTGGAGGGTATTCCCTCGAGTCCGAACCGGTCTAGCTCGTGCGCTGACAGGGCTAGATGATGTCCGCGAGAGTGTATCGATAAATGGCCGGTCCTAAACACCTAGTGATGCTCGCGGATGTACCTCGGTTGAATAAGGAGAGAGCGCAGCAAGGTGTTTGGGGTGCTCTCCATCCTCGTTCGACAAAGTCCTTCACCGTCTTCAAGACGTCCGAGGGGGAGGGGTTCCACTGAGCTATTGACGACTCCACTGGCCAATGCGGGTTATCGAACTCTTCAACGGCGCTGGGAAGGTCATTCATTCATCTCTCCCCTGGCGCGCCGATCTCCCACAAGTCCGGAGGTGTGCTACGGGTCCTGAGAGGGTCGTAGGATTCGTGACCCGAGTCAAGAAAGCCCGCTCATCTTATATCCATTCGGGGACCCCCTTCCTTTTCGCTCGGCCAAAGGCCAAGAGCAGAGATCGATAAGATGAACAGGCGTTCCTTTCTGAACCTATGTTGATGTTTGCTTTTCTACCCGTTTCCTGCAATCTTATGTCGAAAGTCGGTGGAACACAATCGTCAACATGGTTGCCGTCCGACTCTTCGCGGTGCTTGCTAGCTTGTTCATGCTGGGAAGCATCGTGAGTGCGTTGGATCCGACGATGCCCATGGGCTTTCCGCCCTGCGAAGTGAGTGGCCCTCCCCAGCAATACCTTCGTCACAGCACTTGCTCATGCGGTCAGATCGAATGCGTCCTTCAAGAACTCCATAACACCCATTGTCCCATCACAGACCAGGCCTGCCTGTGCAACGATAAGGCCTTCTCGGGCCACGTTCAAAGCTGCGTTATTGCGAACTGCACCGTCATTGATATGCTGGGTGAGGGAAGCCGGACCTGGCGGTGTCGGAACCGGGAATCGAAGCTGACTGGCCGTGCCTTTTGAACAGCTGCCAAAAATCATACGGATGCTATGTGCGGCGTGCCCGTAGCTCAACGCAAAAACCCCATAGGGTGCATCCAGGTAGCCCTTTTTATGTTCACCACCCTCGTGATCATTACGCGGATCGCCCATAAGTGTATGAAGATTTCGCCTTGGGGTTGGGACGATACAACTGTCATGGTTGCATATGTATTACTCACCCTCCCTGACTCTCTTATCATCTTCTCGAATCATCATTGACTCTCTTTCAGGTTGCTTTCACTGTTTTTACGCCCATCGCCTATATTGGTAAGCTGTTGCGAACTAACGTCTGAATCCATCACTGGCCTAACGTACATCTGTAGCTGATATTGCCGGGTCTGGAAGAGATGTGTGGTACCTTTCCCCTGACGAAATTACTGAAGGACTCAAAGTAAGAATCGAACTCATTCGAACCACTCTAGTCGTCTTCAATGTAAGCTGACCCGAAACCAAAAGACATTCTTCGTCTTGACCTTCTTGTACATACTGGGTCTAGCCTTCGTCAAGGCGTCCATCCTATTCCTGTACCTCCGCATCTTCCCCGATCAACGGTTTCGTAGGGTCTTGTGGCTTACCCAAGCTTTCAACCTCCTGCTATACCTTTCCTTCCTTGCCGCCTCGCTCGCCTCCTGCCAGCCCCTGCACTATGTCTGGGACGGATGGACGGGCAAGACGGAGGGCCGTTGCTACAACTCGAACCCCCCCGCCTTGGCCCACGGCGCGCTGAACTTCATCCTGGACATTTGGATGCTGTTTCTTCCGGCATCGCAGATCTACAAACTGAACATTCCACGCAAGCAGAAGCTCGACGTCATGGTCATGTTTAGCGTGGGCATATTGTGAGTGAAAGAGAGAGTGAGAGTTCTCTGAAGCCGATGATGCTTCGGGAACAGAGAACCTTTGCTGATTGAGGATAATAAGTCTTACCGCAGCAAGCGGCTATCGCATCAAAGTGATTCGGCCGTTTGGAGCCTCTTTTGACCCTGAAGGTCAGATAACGTCCACACTGAGGCATGCCTCTCTACTTTCTGTTCCGAGTGCTAATGTTGCCAGTAGTCGCGTTCCAAACTGCCATCTGGTCCGCCATAGAGCTCGCCGTGGGGATCTTCGTGGCATGCCTCCCGAACATACGCCAGTTCTGGGTAGCAGTGCTGCCGAAGATCCTTCAGGCCACGGGCATCTCGTCGCGGACACACGAGGCCGCCAGGGACTCGACGGCCTCGGGGCAACCCCCGCGAACGACACCAGAGAGCCGCGCGCGGCGGTCTGGCGCGGTCGATAACGACGCGTCGTCGACGTCGGACTTGGTGGGCGTGGACATTCACAGGACGAAATCCAGTCAGTCCGACTCGATCGGTGCCACGGCGGCGCCGGGGGACGGGGTCAAGTCGACGATAGCGGCCCACATCTGGCGGCTCGAGATGCAGCTAAAGTCAGAGTCTAAGGACCCGCATGAAGAGTTCGACCTTCGGGAAACTAAAAAATGAGAAAGATGTAAGGAAAGTCGCCAAAGAAAAAGTATTGGGCGCAGCAGTGGAGAGAGCAGAGAGAGGAGTCATTTCTTTTAGGAAACCTATAGATAGATACCCGTTTACATGACTTATGAGTATGAAGTCTAGCATATGAGACGCATAGCGCTCTGGCGGGACTTTGGCTGATTGCCCGCCAAATATATTTTCAAGCAGAAAAGTACGACGCACGTAAGAGTTATCAAAGTTGACAATCAGCCACTATCGTGCTCTTACAAAGTTTTGTGAATACACGCAAGATGCGTACATTTACTACCTAGTGTGTAAATACGTAGTATTTCTGGCCAGTCATAATTCCCTTTAAAGCCATAAGGCAATGCAACCCCGTGCCTGTTGAAACTGTAACAGGAGATCGCATCGCGATTATTGTTGGCTGCTCAGTCCCGGTTGTTATCAGGCATGTGTTGAACGGAAAAGTCGTGGCTTTTTATCGGCGAATGTTATATAGAGGGATTGATGGAAGGGGAGTATCTGGACGTTATTGTCGAGAAACATCTTTCCCAGAGAAATTCAGACTTATATGAAGGAATGCATCTTAGACTTAGGGAGACTACAACACTGATATTAATCAACTTTTCCGAGAACATACACAACAGACTATGGATAAGAAGCCAGGATAGCAAGCAAGCTGAAATCAAATGCCTACGAATCTCGGATCCCAACAATGACCTACACAGATGGCTGTCTTCTCCCTCTTTCCTCTTCCAGGCAACAGATCGAATAGCCGATGTTGTAATGCTTGATATGGCTGTCTTTCTTCTCATATGAACCTTTCTTATATCCGTTCGCTCTTGCGCTAGAGATAAGCTTAAGTATGAGCTGTGGTCAAGCACTTGTTTCGTGGGTGCTGTCATCTTGTCTTCGTTTACACTCTCCAACCCTAAGGTCTAGTAAATTAAATATTTTTCTTCTTTCCAAGCTGTTGACACTGGTAGAAATGATCACAATAACGCATTTGCCTGGCCCATCCCACACTAGTTCCAAGCTCATATCGGATTTCATTTGAAGATTCAAAGCAGCCAATTGAGGTCGAGCAGTTGGAAGAGGTGAGTTCTCTTAAATTATGTAGTATAATACCAGCAGGGAGGGGAAAGGGATCGACTCGATCTTGACAGAAGCTGGGAAATAGTCGCTTCCGGTATAGTCGGGGAATGTGTACGTAGATAGAAGGGTGTCCGCTCCTTCCCATTTAATCTCTTGAGAGATCTCTCGTCTAATATTTTTCTTCTATCGACCCTCTCACTCAAATTCTTTGCAGGCTGCCTCACCTTGGCCCTCTTCCTTTCTACAGCCTGACCTCTCGCAGCCCTACGAGATTCGTACAATGGAAGACAAAGGGTTCTATCAAGCCAAAAGGCAAAAAACAACATCTGACAAGCAGTCACGGTAAGCACAAGGCGATTCCTGATCTCAATCGATTGCGCTCACAATTTCCCACAGATCCTCTCCCATGGCAGACATCTTTCTCAGCAACGCCATTGTGTCCGTCCAAGAAGACTGGCTTTGCGACAACTCAGAGTTCTTCAGAGTGTGCCTCCGTGGAGGCTGGAAGGAAACTACTACAAAGGCTGTCCACCTTGAACATGTCGACGGCGAGACCTTCCTACTCCTTGTAGAGGTTATGGAGCTTATGCTGAGTTCGCCCAATATCAACATTCGCCACCACTTTGAGAAAGCGTCCGATTGCGTTATCTCCTTCCTCCCAGACTCCCAGCCGCTCACAGCGTTCGCCCGCCTTGTGCGCCTTGCAGACTTCCTGCTGATGACTAACCTCTACTTCTTCCTGCGACGCGTATAGGAGACGCTCTGGCGCCGGTTACACATGAGACCAAACGTGGTCGATGATGCGCGCATAGCGATTCTCGAGTGTGGTGACGACGACGTCCTCGCGCGGATTAAAAACAACTGTATCATGGTCGCTTCCCGGAAAAGATGAGGAAGGTCTTTGTCGACACGATGGATCTCTTTTGGATTCTTGCTGGATCAGACAAAGAATACAAGATGAAGGGGCTGTAGCTGAAAGGAATGAGCAAATACAGGGCAAACGGATCAAAGCTGGCTAGCGACGGAACGATGAAAGACGTGACTGGTGGACCAATACTGAGAATAGAAGAAGGTTATATGACTTTCCCACAGCCCTCCATTTCCCAGCGCGTGCCATCCACCAAGCCCCAGCGACCGGCATCGAGAGGATCCTCATCGCCGAAATACAGTCCTGGGTGGTTAATGAAGTCATCCGGGAAGCACGACGAAACGGTTTGTCGCGCCTTCTCGTTCAGCTCCGTGCAAGCTTCATGAATCCGCTTCAGTCTGTCGTCGTCAGTGACCTTGATGAGGCGCTCAAGAAGGAGCAGCGCCGAATCGACATTGCTCTGGTCGGTATGGCGGAACGGGTTGTCCGGGCACGCGAGGTTGTTGACCGTGATGAACATGACGCTCGTGAGATAACCACACGATACCAACCTAGAAAGCGAGACAGTTAGTTGCACAAACACGTCCCAGCTGAGGTGTTCAGAAATCGAAGCCGTACCATGTGAGAGCAGAGTCATTCTCCGGCGTCGCCGCATAGAGTTGCATGCACGTCCGCGACTGCGCGACCAGCTTGTCCCAGCAGCTCGGCAGTCGAGCAGCCAAGTCTGACCGCACGGAGGGAGCCTGCCTCTTGGTGCAGTTGAGAATCTCCCGCATCCATTCCATGTGGTGCGAGTCCGTGTGGTGTGTCGTCGCGACGAGCTGGAGGTGGGTGTAGTGCATCAGCGAGATGCACCGGAGACGTTGCCTGGGCACCGTTCCCTCCACGAGGTGCGGCTGGAAGTCCGTCGGTATCGCCTCCAGCCAGCCATCCAGCATAGCCCGGATGCGGAGCGTATTCCGCCTCCGTTCGTGCTCGGGCAGTCGAAGCGCCTGTGCGGACCTGAGCATGGCGTGGAGCCGACCCTCGATGTAGGCCAGCTGGACGCGGCTGCGGAAGAAGTTGAATACCTGGCCCGAGAAGCCGCATATCAGGCCTGCTCCGTCCGGAGGGTCGGGGACCGGGAGGTCCACGTCAATGTCCGCGTCCTGGTGGATCGGTGGCTGCGATGTCCTCATCGCCAAGTCGCGGTCGAGGATGAAGGCGAGCCAGAACACCCGGGTCCGCTGGAGGGCTTCGGCCGGTGCGAGGTTTCGATTTCCGGCCTTCGTATGCAGCTTGAGGGTCTGGACCAGCCTCATAGCCGTCGCGATAATGACCGAGGCTGGGCGCTGGTCTGCCGAGCCGTGAAACACCAGGACCAGCCCCAAGATGATCTGCAGGGCAAGAAGGCTTGGTTCGTTGAACGCCAGCTGGTTCAAGACCGACTGGACATTGCAGACGTACCGCCGCATGTTCTGGGTCTCCTCGAGGCTGGAAGCGTAGGTGTGCCGGCGCGCCAGCGCGAGGACAACATTGACGGCCGCCCATGCGTCCGGTGTGCGACACGCTGGGTGCGCGTACCAGTCGCGGAGTAGCTTCATGAAGGCCTCCCTGTCGAAAAGAGGAAGGACTTGGTTCGAGTTTCGGAAGTAGTCTTCTATCGTCGGGAGGATGTGGGGGAGAGACGGCAGGGTCTTAGCGTCGTCCTCCCGAGGAACGCTGTGGCCCGTCAAGGATTCAGGGAAGTCGTCGACTGATGATCTCACATGGTGAGTCCATATTTGATCTTCATTGGAGATTCGAGCCTGCGAACCAGCCTGGATGGACAGAATAGCCGGGTCCTGAGTGATCTGGGGTAGTGGCTCCCCGTGGTCGTTCTGCGCTTCCAGCTGCGCCACTCGGGCCTCCAGCATCTCGATCTTCTGAAGACTGGAAATCATATATTACCAACTATGCTATCCGCCTTTACGTGACATACAAAGAAATAAGCATCCACTCACTGGCTTGGTTGAACGGTGGCCGCCCTCGTAGGGCAGGTGTAAGTGCATTCCGAGTTGTACAGCTTGCAGCCCGAGCAGAGGGGCTGTTTCCTGTCGCATTTGATTTTCTTGTGGTAGCAAAGATCACAGGCCTAAATGAAACCCGGTGAGCCGTTGAAGATCACTCCATGCTTAAGCATCTGCAAAACGCGAAAGGGGCGTCTACCTTCCTCTGCCTGGCCTTTTTGGGCTTCGTCGCTTCCATAGTTGCAATGAGTTTTGAGGACTCAATATTGGCTAATCGATGGACTGCTCTGCAGACTTAGAGTCGGCCAGCTTTACAGATTCCCACAGATTGGCGTCTAAGACTATCAACTCAATGAGACCGACCAAGTGGTAGAGAAGGAACACAATTACGTTCCGAAGCTAGCAGGAGGACGTAAACGGAGAGGCCTGCTTGCTTATTAATCCGCTGACACCTACCTAACTAACCCAAGTGAGAAGTACTCAAGATCAACCCTAACCCTTTGCAGGCAAAAGGCAATTACATAATCGTCCAAGATGTGAAGAGTTGTTATTTGCCCCCACATCGGTGGACCAGAAATCAAAGGTACTGATGCCGCAGCCTATGTTGCGATAGATAACGATCGGGCTTGATGTGGAGAAAAAACAAAAACGACGTTGGCCTGATTCGAACAGACGCTCCCGAAGGAACAAGATTTCTAGTCTTGCGCATTAGACCACTCTGCCACAACGCCAACCAATCAACTAGACATGTCTGACGTGGGGAAGTGACGAGTCTATAATCTATAGCCAGTACCACTGAAAGCCGGTTAGATTATTCCTAGGGTTCAGCACTGCTGAAAAAATAGTTAAATAGCTTTTGGGTTGTGGTTTTATCGCCCTAGCATCAGCACCGCTCGTTACAGCCCTGTGTAGGGACTAAATAGTCTTGAGGCTTGTGGGGCCTCTATATCAAGATGTCAAACCCAGCCAAGTCATAGGATGTCACGTTCAACACTTAGACAATAACCTTCGGTATTTCTAATAGAACCGTAATCAACTACAAGAAATTAAATTTCCAATGAAAACGCCCCCAGCTCACAGGCCGATAGAAGTTACTCGTACAGAGACAAGGTATGTCTAAACGGAAACCGCGTCACTGCGCCAGTCTGCAGGTCAAGCAGACCGTCGTATTGCAACTTGAGCAATAAAAGCTAGATGCAAACAAATGGCAGCGGGGACAGGCGGGAGAAACGAAAGCTTCCATTTCTGGCCACCAGCCTTGCCAGGGATGGTGGGCCTTGGGACAGAGACGCTTCTGTGGATGCGAATCTGCATAACTTTCCCTGGGCCGACGAACCGTCTTGTCCAAAGACTTTGACTGCAGGTCGATGGCATCAAATCTGGCCACGGCATCTGTGGCGCATGAAGTCTTTGACCGCGCTTGCGGGCTGCGGTCTTTCTCGTACTCTTCTGTGGCATCTGAAACTTCCTCTTGCCCATCGTTCCGAGGCGTACCACCCACGAAGACCGTCGATCGCCGCGCCCTGCGCTCCTTCATCTTCCCCATGAACTTCCGCGAGTAGCTCGTGAGCTTGTTACGAAGCGGGTTGTCTCCTCCTACTACCGTCGTGGCTTCTACCCTTTGCCACTCGGTCCACTTCTGGTAACGAAACCATGCAGCTCTGATATTTGCATAATCGTTGTCGTATTTTGCGCGCTCTGGTGGCTGGCATAGAACCTCGTACGCTGTCAGCGCTTGTGTCATGCTGTCAGTCATAGCACTCTCACGGTGGACTTTCTGGGATATTTCCGTTCCATCTGTACGCCACTTTTTCTCCGGGATTCCAAAGGTTTTCTGGATTTCTTCGAGTGTTGCCGTTTGATCAATGCCAAGGTCTCGGTAGTAGTCCGGAGTTGAAGGATGTTGCATAGTGTGTAAAAGGGGTGACTTCGAGTCTTCGATTGAGAACTCAACAGCCGAAATCGTCGTTACTTTGCCGTAGCCTCTACAAAAAGAGAAAGAAGGAAAGAGGTTGTCGTAATTTTGAATGCTGCCACTGTTCACCTTACCTAACAGTGGCTATCTGTATCGTAGTTGCGTTTCAATTATATCAGGTCACCGTCCTTCGCGAAGTTGTTGCGGTATCTCTGGTTCTGAATGCCGTGAGAATGATTGTTCTGTAAGTTGTCGAAGAACGGAAGAACAGGAAATAAGTATAGTTATTACATGTTTGTCAACTGCATAATGCACAATGAGGTTGGAAGAACATTGCTCTTTGTGGCCCCTTCCACTTGCATCTTTCTAAGAGCTTGTAGCAATGAAAGAACGTCCATATCGGTTTGTGTGTTCGTCTATAGGCAAACGGAAACCGCAAGAACAACCCATTACTGGTTCTATTATTGGTTCATCAACGACATAGATTGCAGGCTTTCTAGTTCAATGGAGCTTCTGATTGAACAATGGGATTGTACAAACAAGACGAAACGTTGTGTCTAAGCTTTTAAACCACAAAATTATCATTAACCAATAGTCAGTCACTTTATAAAGACTGTGTCCGGTTTGAGTAGGTGTTCTGCCAACTATCACAGAGTTATTGTTGTGACTGTCTACCCATTAGCTTTTTTCAACAACAATTCCGAGTTGCGCACATGAGACTGTCAGCGCCATTTTTGGACACTTGAAAATTGGTTGGTCAATGGACATTGTATCAATACAAAAAATTGCAAAATTTTCAAAGTGGGCCACGTTATGTTGGAAGCTATTTTGCAATCCGAAAAATAGAACAAACGACTAAATCAAATGTCAATGCATGATAGCACAACCTGGTTTCGATCCAGGGACCTCTGGGTTATGAGCCCAGCGCTCTACCCCTGAGCTATTGTGCTTGATCCAATTGTTGAAAATCGTTGATTCCAATCTTTTCATACAGGATAAGGTGGAGTCGAGTGTGTGGCTCCCTCGTGGGTCACAGCTTTGATTGCGCGGACCCATTGTCAAGCTTGTCTTATTAAATGAGCTTTCTCCTCTAGCTATCCTTGTGAACAATAGTCTATCTGAATTATTACTACCATCGAAGACCCATTCAACACAGCATGTCCAAAAGTCCATGTCCTACATACTTATGTAGGAGAGACGGGGGTGGATCATGACTTCGCTGTCCACTACTATACTATACAGCTTAAGCTTCGCAGAAAGTGCTTATTCTATTGCTAAGAAATTAGGAAAATCAATGTTATTCGTAGAG